ACGCGCGCTCTTGGTGAGAGACCGACGCCCCACCAGGAGCATCAGCCAACGATAATAACGATTGGCCCGCGAGAGTGAGAAGCACGGGGCAGGGAGGAGGGTGTGTGTGTGTGTGGGGGGGGGGGGGGGGCTCTTCAAATAAAGTCCCTTCTTAGTCCGCAGCTCGTGAGGACCTCAACCCAGAGTCAACAGGTCGACCACTGCGCTGGTGAAACCGGGTTTAAGGCGGATTTACGCGTGCGTAATGACGCATAAATACTGGATGAGGCATAGACAATTTTGGGACTTGAAATAATGCAGGAGCTTCATTTGGGTTGAATAAAAAAAAAGCTGTCAACACGTCGAGGCACCATGGAGAACTTCGACCTGCCGTCTTTCAGCACACCTTGCGTGAGCGATCGTTTCCAAGAGGCGTCCGTGCGTTTTCAAACAACTCCCCACCTCTCCATCGATTCCTAGGACATGCTGTGTTTGATCCAGACCCCTCGCACACACTCGAGAGAAGTTTTCCAGTAATAGAGATGCAGGGCCGTTGTGTAGTGAGAGGCTTTGCCGGTCTGTCCGCGGTGCGCTCCTGCAGCCTCCTGCTACTCCTCCTCCACTTGAGCGCACCGGTGGAGGCGAGGAGAGTGCGCGGCGGCCGAGCGCAGACTCGGCGGGTGCAACAGCAGCAACAGCAACAGCAGCAGCAGCTTCAGCAGCAGCAGCAGCAGCAGCCGGCTCATACGCACAGGGAACGGGTGGAAGGAGCAGAGAGCTTCCCTTTAGACTTTACAGCCGTGGAGGGGAACATGGATAACTTCATGGTGCAGATTAAGAACTTGGCGCAGTCGCTGTACCCGTGCTCTGCGCAGAAACTGGAGCAAGACATGAAGCTGCACTTTTTGAAGAATGCGTCTGTGACGTGCAATGACGGGTCGCCTGCAGGGTAAGTGTCTAAACCTAAAACATAAATGTAATTTACAATCCCTGTCAGCTGTCATTGTAGCCTATAGTGGAGATTTTTTGGGATAAACCCCACAGCGTTACCTAGATACTTAATTGCGCTTCTTCACACCAAACATGCCACCTTTGTCACTAAGTCCACTGTGTCCCTCCGCTGTGACCACACTGGATCAAAAGCTCAGATCAAAGAGAGAGCGCGTAGTGCGCACTGCCGCTGAGCTAGAGACTGCGTGAGAGGGACCATGCGCACTTTTCTTCCCAGCAGAGATGACTTCTTTTATGGATGGACCAAAGTTGTTCGGTCTAATACTTAAAACACAACAATTCTCTGAGAACTTAAAAAGTGTTTGACATGAATCATTAAAGATCCTTAATAATTGTGCTTGTTTAGTCCACTTGATGGATGTGCAGAGTGCGGCCAAAGCGCAAAGACTAATGCGTAACGCAAACATCTCTCTTCAGACATCCGCTCATTATTCAAGTCAGTGTAGCTTTGACTGATTTCTGCTGTTATTCCCAGCAGCTACAATACAACAAGGAGGGAACTACTTCAAAATAAACTGGCCCATCACTGCAAGAACCCAGTTTTATTATATCATGCGAGAGGAGTATTATTGGGGTGTAGAGTCCCAAATGTGCCTATTGTCTGAGTGCCCATATTCAATGAGTAGTTTGTTTTTTGGTTGTCTAGTATGATCTTAAACATCTGCATCACTTGCTCCTCAGTATTCTTCTTCACCAGCAATAAATAGACTAGTATTACTTTTTGAATCAAACACTTGATTCCCAATTATGTTTTAACTATCATACACTGAAATCACAAATGAAATGAACCATTGTGATAGTGTGAATGAGAAGATCTACTATCTCACCCAAGCTGTCATTGCTGTGAGTGTTCAACTGTGTGTTCTGCCAACAGCATTCTAACTTATCTCTTCTCGTGTTTTTTAATAAGCAATTAGAGCTCAGAGGTGTTTAGTAATGTGATCAGAGCCCGAATCTTTCTGTCAGCATCAAACGTAGCATCCCAATCGCAGCACTTCTGATGTGCTTGTTATGTATATATCTGTGTGATGCACGACACACACACACACGCACACACAAACACACTCAGTGACTTGTTGTGGTGTTCTCATGCAGGTACTACATCAAGGAGTCGAAAGGAAGCAAGAGGTGGCTGCTGTTTTTAGAGGGTGAGAAATAAAGCCGATACTGAACAACACACAGTGCTCAACACAGTGACAGACAACTGTGCGTAACCTGTTAACAAGCTCCTGTGTGTGTGTGTGTGTGTGTGTTTGTTGTTCAGGTGGATGGTACTGTTTCAACAGGCAGACCTGTGTCAGCAGGTATGAGACCATGAGGAGATTGATGAGCTCCACCGAGTGGCCACAAACCAGGACAGGTAACAAAGCAAAAACGTATTATTATAATATTATTATTATTATTTCTTGCACAATCGCGGCGCTCTGTGTCATATGCAGAAACGCACATGAAAGTGTTACACATTTGTGCAGCTTTTGAAAAATCTCCTCACAGCCCCCGCAGGCATTTTGCCTTCCTCTGGAAAAAAGAAACTTCCCCTGAATGAAGGAGATTCATAGACCTATTTATGTTTCCTTTTAAGCTGAGTTTGCGTTAATCTTTTAAAGTCAGACTCTCTGGTTCTTTTCCCTCCGTCCATCAGGGAACCCCTTGTTTTTTTATGACTCTTGGCCTTCAGCTCCCTCTCTGTGTACACTTTACACTGGTGGCCAGGGCAGCAGCCGCACAGCTCTTCAATGGCTGCATGTAATTGCTGACCAGAGCAGAGAAACTTAATGACTTGTTTACCACAGGGAAACACACACACACACGCACATACACATACACTGATACACACACTTCAAGGTCTGTGAATTTTAACAAGTAGCCTTCAGCATTTAACCCCTTCTTACTTTTACTTTGGGTTTTTGACTCTGTGATGAGGACATTTGTGCAGAAAGTGAAATGTAATGTTAGATCTCGTGTGTGTATTCCACAGGAACAGGAATTCTGTCTCCTCAGCCAGAAGAAAACCCACACTGGTGGAACGCCAACATGGTGTAAGAGCTTTCATCTCCTCTTCAGTTTAGAGTTAATACTCTCCTGTGTTCTGCTAAGTTTTCTCAACTACATTCAAGTCTTCTCCACTTACTGTAGTGATAGGAGTGTAGGGTGCACATACATGGGATAGTATCACATGTCTGTCATATTATTGGCTGATATTAATGTTAAGTGTTTATGTTTATATTTTTTCACATACTAGTGCTTTATACGACTATTTCCAATTTGTGATTCTCATGTGAACATTGTGAT